TGTCCTCTGGGCTGCCTCTTGTACAGCATGTTTGGAAGGTTAGAGGAGGAAGGTGGATGCATTTGGAATCAGGCGGGGTCTGGGGAGAAGACAGAGGCGGACCGTGTGGAGAGCCCAGGCAAAGGTGGCACCATCTGCCCCGGGCGGTGCCCATCAGCCAGCCGTGCCGGCTGTGCCCCTCAGGTCCTCAGGGAGTCAGCTGAGTGCCTCCTAATGTCTCCATTTGTGTTTGGCTGCGGGTTGGATCTGTTTTTAGCTTTGCTGGCTAGTCCCCCTGCCACCCCCCCCCTTCCTGCTGGCTTTTTTGTTTGCTGTGGTCAGAATAATGTTCCCGGACTTCCTGAGCTGTTTGTTTGAAGCCAGTGCAGTATTGATTTAATCATGCCCATGGAGACCTGCCCCTCCCCGGTGCAGGACCAGGGGTCTCAAAAAATCCTGGGGAGGTGTGAGGAGGGTGTGGGGGTGGAGAAAGCAAGACTGGGGCTCTGGCTGGCTTATGCACCTGCTTAAGATTAAAGCAGAAGGTTTGGGTGGCTCTTAAGTCCCCCAGAGGAGACCTGACGGCACAGGAGTTAAGCAATGGGCTGCGAACTGAAAGGACAGTGGTTCAAACCCTCCAGCCGCTCTGAGGGAGAAAGATGGGCAGTCAGTTGGTTTCAGTAAAGAGTCCATCTTTGGAAACTCTGTGGGGCAGTTCTATTCTGTCCACTAGGGGCGCTGTGAGTCAGAATTGACTTGACCAAAGTGGGTTGAGTTTGGGCTTTGCATCCATAAATGTTTACAGCCTTGGAAACCCTATGGTGCAATTCTATTCTGTCCTCTAGGGGCGCTGTGAGCCACAATAGACTTGACAACAATGGGTTCGGTTGGGGCTTTGAGCTCTGGTGGCATAGTGCTTAAGGCATTTGACTGCTAACCAGAAGGCTGGTGGTTCAAACCCACCAGCAGAAGGCAGACTGGGCAATCTACTTCCCTAGAGAGACTGTCTTGGAAACCCAAAAAGGGGTCACTATGAGTCAAAATCAACTCCACGACAGTGAGCTTTGCTTCTGTAAAGATTAAAAAAATAAAAAATGCCATCAAGTCGATTCTGACTCATAGTGACCCCCCCCCGTTGGGTTTCTGTGGCAATAAATCTTTACAGAAGTAGGTAGCACCATCTTCTTGCTGTGGAGTAGCTGGGGGTTTGAACCATTAACCTTCTGGTTAGCACTCAAATGCCTTAGGCACTGTGCCATGGCGTTGGAAACCCTATGGTGCAGTTCTACTCTGTCCTCTAGGGGTGCTGTGAACTGGAATCAACTCCATTGGCAGGAGGTTTGGTTTAGGCTTTACGTCCATAAACATCTGTTGTTTCCATAAACATTTGTTGTTGCTATGTGCCATAGAATAGGGCCTGACTCATAGCGACCCCTCCTTGGGTTTCCGAGGCGGTATCACTACGGAAGTAGACTGCCTAATGTTCCTTTGGAGGAATGGCTGGTGGGTTTGAACCGCCAGCCTTCTGGTTAGCAGTCAAGTCCCTTAGGCACTATGCCATCAGAGCTCCTCCATAAACATTCACAGCCTTGGAAACCCTATGGAGGAGTTCTACGCTGTCCTCTAGAGGCGCTGTGAGCCAGAGTCAACACTGCAGTGAGTATCACCATCAGCATCTTGTAACCTCTAGACCATTAGGCCTTTGCCTGTGGCTATTAATTACCATCAAGTCCACTCTAACTCCTGGAGACCCCACATGTGCAGAGTAGAACTGCCCCAAAGGCTATCCCTGTGAGGCCAGACATGCTGCCTCCCTCCAGCCCTTTCACCAACCCTGACACCAACCATTCCTCCCACAGCACCCACCTCCTCTCTGCTGGGTTTGAAAATTGGCTGCAGTGGCCACACAGAACTCACAGACCATGGGGTTTATTAGGGAAGCCCCAGGCTACAATTCAAGTTCAGGAAAAAAAAACTGCCCAGTCTCTCTCAGCCCCGCCGCCTCTCAGCCAACATCTCTCAGCCACTTTCCCAGCAATGCGTGTCTCTCGGTGTCTCTTTCAGCAATGCGTGTCTCTTGCACCTCTTTGCCAGTGGCGAGCGTCTCTCAGGAGCCCGGGTCTTTCAGGAGCACGTTTCCCTCGGTAGCATGTCCTTCTCAGCCAGCAGTCAGAGGCAGACTGTTGGCTGAGACACGAGACACGGCAGGCTCAGAGAGAATGAATGTTTTTTTTTCCTGAACTTGAATTGTAGCCTGGTGCTTCCCTAATAAACCCCATAATCTGTGAGTTCTGTGTGGCCACTGCAGTGAATTATTGAATCCAGTGGAGAGGAGGTGGGTGCTGCGGGAGGAACGGCTGGTGTCAGGGTTGGTGAAACGGCTGGAGGGAGGCAGCATGTCTGGCCTCACAGGGATAGGCCTTGGGCTACTGATGGTGATTCTGTCTTCCTCTTGTGGGGTTACAGGAGGTCAGAAGATGCGGCCTCCTTGCCCCTTTGGCAGTAGTCAGAGAAGGACTTCTGCCTCTATGAGGGCTCCTTTTGAGGCTGAACCAACCAATCCAACATCAGAATTCTATATACCTGAGAGAGAGCACAAACTTCCCAGAATGTTACTTTGCGCTGCTCCCAACAGAAATACCCCACGTGGATGACTTTATCAATCAGAAGCTACTCAGTTTCTCACAGCAAATTCCACCATGGAGTTTACAAAGACTTATGGCTAGAAAAGCCATACCAGGTAATTTACTACACTGCAGTATGGTAGATGTAGAGGGTGAAAAAGAACAAGAACCCCAAAGAGATGGATTGACAGAGTGGCCGCAACATTGGGCTCAAACACAGCAATGACTGTGAACATGGTGCATGACCTGGCGGTGTTGTGCTCTGTTGTATGCAGGGTCGCTACGGGTCAGAGCTGACTTGACAGCACCGAACAACAACAATAACAATCTTTACGGAAGCAGACTCTCCCGCAGAGTGGCTGGTGGCTTTGCACCACAGGTCTTTCCGCTAGCAGCCAAATGCTTAACCACAAAGCCACACTCAGGTAGTGGAAGAGCTGTGAAAATACCGTGGTGCCAGGGGATGGAGAAGTGAGGGTACTATTTTCAGTGGGGTGGTTAGAGAAGCCCTCCCTGAGGGTGGGGTGAGAAAGTGAACCTGGGGGAGAGGAGATCCAGGTAGAGGGAACAGCCAGTGCAAAGGCCCTGAGGTGCAATGTGCCTGAGTGGCTGGAGGATGAGAAAGAAATCCGAGGAGGTCCCGAGGGACTGAGGGGTTGGACCTGTGAGCTCGGGACCACGGCTGCAGGGGACATCAAGCTCAACTGGTATAACATATTCCACAACAACGCTGTTCTACATCCTACTTTGGTGAATAGTGACTGGGGTCTTAAAGGGTTACAAGCAGCCATCTAGACACAATGATGTCCAGGGAAAAGAAGAATGAAGAAAACCATAAATGCATGGAAACAATTAGTCCAAGGCACTGGTACACCATGTGATCCTCAGCGTATATGACTATGAGACCAGAAGAACTAGATGGTGCCCAGCTACCACTGGCAACCACTTAGAAAGGGATCAGGATAGGAGATCCTGGGTAGAGTGGGAGAACAATGTGGAACAAAACTCAAAATCATAAAAAAAAAAACCCAAAAACCAACAGGTTTGCTGGGCTGATAGAACCTGGTGAGATCCCCAAGACTACGGCCCCTAGTTACCCTTCAGGTCTGGAACTGAACTCACTCCTGTGGCTTCCAGCCAAACAACAGACTGGCGTATGGGGTGAACATTGACATCAGGTAGATACACTCTTTAGAACGGTCAACCATGGGAGAACAGAAGGGCAGTGTCTGCACAGGGAGACAGCTCAGGGGGGCAGGAATGCACAGGAAAGAAGGAGACAGGAAGAGGTAACCACAGAGAGGAAGTGGGAAGAGAGCTGTTACACTGTGGGGACCTCGATCAATGTCATGAAACAAAATGTGCATGAACTGCTGTGTGGGAAATGAATTTGCTCTGTAAACTTTCACCCAAATCACAATTAAAAAAAAAAAAAAAAAAAAGACAAGCCAGGGAGGCAGGTGATAAATAAGTGAGGTCACGGGGGTGGGCCCAAGTGCGCAGGGGCTGGTAAATGGGGGCAAAGGGGGCATAGCCTGGCCTGGATCCCCCGGGGGGCCAATCAGATGGGAGACACCGGGACTGAGGGAGACCCCAGCTGCCCACCCCAGCCCAACACCCGACTCACCACCTTCAGTCGACCTCCACTCCTGGGTCTTGTTGGGGATACGTCTAGCTGAGGGGGCAGAGGGGGTGCTGAGAGGGTCACCTGGGGGGACAGAGGGTGGGGAAGGGGTGTAGGCTGCCATTTTCCTCTCAACTCTGCATCCTGTTGCCTGGGGTCCTGGCATTCCCAAACTGTTCTCCACTGGGAGACAGAATGGGAAATAAGACCACGTCCTCACTCTCAGGGGGACTGCAACCGGAGAAGGCCTCGGACCCCCGGGGAATCCAAAGTTCAGGCTCCCAGGACCCAAGACTCCTGTCCCCAGTCCCCTCCTCCCTCAGACCCAGGAGTCCAGGCCCCAGCTCCCTCTATCCTCGGACCCAGCACTCCAGGCCCCTAGGCACCCCGTTTTCATCAAGCCCCAGCAATTCCAGACCCAGCTCCTGCTGGGCCTGCCTACCTGCCCTGTCTCCTCCTCCCTGTCTTCCAGGTCACTGCTGTCCTCTGGGTCCTCGGTGGCAGCGGCAGCGGACCTGGCCCCCGCTGGCCTCTCTGGGAACTGAAGGACACTCACGGGCTCTTGGCCCTTGATCTCACAGCGGCAGAAGGGACAGGTCTGGCTGTCCAAGTGCTGGGGGAGGTGAGAGGGGAGGGTCAGGGGCTCCCATCCCAAACTGAGGGATGGAGGGGGACGGACAGAGAAGGGGAGAGAAAGAGAGAGAGACAGGGGGGGGGGCGGGACTGGATGGGAGTGAGGTCCAGAGAGATGCACACAGACAGAGCCCCACGGAGCCAGGGGCAACAGTGCCCGGCTCCCAGGGGCCTCTCTGGGTCAGGCCTTTGCCGAGTGACTCCCAGGCTCAAATCCTCACTACATCCCCTGGGAGGTTCATGTCCCCAGCCCACTCTCTAGACAAGGACCTCTGGCGCCGAGACGTGAAGCCATCACCCCGGATGACCCAGCGAAGGGCACATGGAGCCCTTTCCACTGATAATGGAGCTGGAGATGGAGAGACGGAGCAACGGACACAGAGCAAGATGGAGGGGGGGTACGGACACAGACAGCTAGGCTCTGCCCTCACTCCTGGGAAAGCCTCTGCTTTCCTGGGCCTCAGTTTCCTCATATGATCAAGGAGGCCCGTGGGCCTCCTCTGGGTCCCCAGGAGGAGCAGATGGCTGAGCCGTCAACTCCCAGCTGACAGGTGAACCCAGCCAGAGGTGCCGCTGAAAGGTCATGGCCGTGAGAAGCTGCAGAGCAGTTCCGCTGTGCACACACAGGGCCGCCAGGAGGCAGAGGCAACCCCACAGCAGTGAACACTAACTGAGGCCCGCCCCCACAGAGATGGGGCGACAGGGCACGGCCACACCCACCTGCCAGGCAGCCAGGCAGTGGCTGCAGAGCAGGTGCCCACACGGCTTGATCTTCACGTCCTTGTTGCTGTCAGCACAGATTTTGCAGAGCTCAAAGGTGGAGTCCATGGCCCAGTAGAGCTGCAGTTGCTCCTGGTGGCAAGAAGACAGAAGGAGGAGAGAAGCAGGGTGCCAAGCACGGGAACGCAATGGGGCCAAGGGAGCGAGGCCCAGAGCCCAGCTGCAGAGCAGAGCTCCTGCCACGCTCATGGCCTCATGTCCAACAGCCTCCTGCATACATGTCTTCACATCTTGTTATGCAATGCTGTCTCTGGAACACCGGTTTGCTAGATTTAGCAAATCATACAGGATGCCCAGGTCAATCTGAATTTTACATCAACGATGAACAAATCTTTTAGTATAAGGATTATATATAGATAGATAGACAGACAGATAGATAGATACACTTTTAGTATAAGTATAGTATAAGAAGGTTGATGAGTGATGCAGGCTGTCTGCTAACCTGAAGGCTGATGGTTTGAACCCAGCCAACGGTGGTGAGGAAGAAAGGCCTGGCACCTGCTTCTGTAAAGCTATTGTTGTTACTGTTGTTATGTGCTGTTGAGTCGGACCCAACTCATAGCGACCCCTCCTTGGGTTTCCGAGGCAGTATCATTATGCAAGTAGATTGCCCCATCTTCCTTCCAAGGAGTGGCTGGTGGGTTTGAACCGCCAGTCTTCTGGTTAGCAGTCAAGTGCCTTAAGCGCTACACTACCAGAGCTCCTACCTTCACAGAAGCAAAGCCCAAACCAAACCCAGTGC